AAATCCCTTCAGTGTCAGGCTCAGGGCACCTTGGACCTTCACAAAGTGGGTGTGCCCACTGAGTCTAAAGACTGACTCATTCAGAAGGGCATATGCTTTTGTAAAGTGCCACCCTTCCCTGCCTTCTGCCTGATTTCAGACTCAGATAGCTAACTACCTCTCTAATCATAAGAAAAAAACCCCAGATATAATGAGGAGAACCTTCTCCATGGCCATTACTAGTACAAATAACTTATCAAATTCAGTAGGGAAGGCACTTTCAAGCCTGTTTCCAAGGAAATTGTTTGAAATCTTCACCATTAACTTCAACCCAGGGAGAATTCTTTAATGTGTAGGAAAGAAAGTTAAGATAAATATATATCCCTTCTGGAAGTGTAACACTATCAGAAAAATGGAACTGAAAAATCACGCTGTTGGAACAAGGAATTTACTAATTTATGTACATCACTAGTTATAATTTTATTTTAAAAACTGCACAGTGACTATAAGCGTTAGTTAATCTGCTGTAGTATTTGCTTTAGTAATCAGTAATCATTTTTGTACTCTCTTAGGTGGGTCAAAGCATAAGTGCATAAAATATCAGAAAGATTTAAAAATACTTTTTCTCCTCACTCCATTTCAATAATCATGTATATATACTGCTTATATCATGCATACATGCTGATTTTTCCTTAACAACACTAACAAATGAGAGGCAGCTGTGGACATTTTATCTCAGAAGTGAATGCTCTATGTATTCTGTAAAGTGTCTGCCACATATACCCAAATCCTTGCACAGGCACTCTGAGGTCTGAATCCCACATATGTTTGCAGGTTTGGGCAACTTAATACACAAGAATAGAGTGAAGAATCAGAAACGTGCTTAAGCTTCATATCTCAATCTAGCACCAACATTAAAAAAAATAAACATTCTGTGCTATATTATTTGCATCCTGTATACTACTAATTCAGTCATGATGTCTGAACCCCTCACATTTTAAATTTGATTTTTTTTCCAGGTTAAAAAAAAATCACTTAAATGAAAATTAAACAGTAAATTGTTTTGTTTTCTAAAAAGAAAAAAAATCAATTGTTAGTGTGCAGAAGGCACTCTATGGCAGATAAATGAAAGTTCACATCCTTGTGGAAGCCTTGGCAACTTGACTTTGGAGAAAGAATCCTTATGTTTTCCAGTGCCTCTTGTTAAAATTTGTGTCAAAGTCCATAAAAGCGTTTTTACAATCCTGATATTCTCCAAAAGCCATAACATTAAAGAATGTTGATTTCATCAGTTGAATAGGCCCAAGAAGAAGTCCATAAAGACATGACTCCTATTCCTCATTATTAGTTGCCTCTGAAATATATGTTTAAAAAAAAAAAAAAAAAGTTAATTCATGATCTATGGCATGTTAAAAGTTATTTTAAAAGTGCCCTCAATGAAACAGACCCTTTAATATGGTATGTCCTGAAGAGGTTTTCTATTCCCATGCTGCTATCCAGGTCCCTCAAAGACCATGGACAGATGCTATATTTGTAGAACTACAAAAAGTTGAGCAAACAGTGCCCACTGTGGCACTTAAAAAATGGTGAGAGCACCACAAAAACATTCCTGATGAAACGGGAACTTTGCTTAGTGCTACCTTTTATAGTGTCACATGCAATGTCTGTATGGTGCACTAAAATGTGACTATGGGGATGTCTTTCTATCCTCCAGCATCCCACAGTGCCCTGCTCGCCACTCTTTTCCCCCCTTCCTCTGCCCAAAGGAGGGAGGAAGAAAAGAGTAGGATGGACAGTTGATGAATGCTGTGCGAGTGCTTAGCTGTCATCAAAGCTGGACAGCAGAAATCCCTCCAGCCTCTCTGCCTCTGATTTCCTGATTCTGGCAAAGGAGCAAATTTTAAAACAAGTTTGCACACCTATGGCCGCATCCAGACAAGCATGGACGTCTGCCACACACTGCACATACAGGTGTTCTCTGTGCTGGTACCTTGCAGTGCAGGGTTGTTGTTTTTTTAAAAATACCCACGCCAGAAAAAAGCAGGGTGGTACACATGGTGGCAGTGTGCACCACCCAAAGCTGGGACCTGGCCTGTTGGAGCCACACTGGCTCCCAGCCAGGCTTCCCACTATAGCTGCAGCCCCGAAAGGCCCCCATGTAAGGCTGCTAAAGCAAGCAGTTACTGGCCCCAGTGTCCCCTATCCCATCTGGGGTAACCTAATGCGTGCTAGAGCATAAGTGGCACCCGCTTTTCCCAGGGACAATTAGCAGTGACACAAGGTGTGCTGCTGCTACTTGTCCCCAGGGAAACAAATGTCTGCACTCGTTTGGATGTGCCCTATGTGCTGAACCCCTACTCCACAGCTTGAAGCATATATGAGTGACTAGCTCACAGCACTTATCTGGGCTCCTAAGGCTATTCTTTATTGAACTGAAAGGAGATTGAGGGGAAAAAAATCCTGGACACTATCCAGTAAGTAACTCAATAATGGCAGCATGCTGAAAAAGGGAGGAATAGACTTGTCCTTTTCTGCATGATCAGATGTAGATTTCAAAAGACGATTAACATTACCTAGAATGTTGTTCTGGGTGCCAGAATTTCCACTTACAACAAAATCATTACACAATCTCAGTTCTTGTTTTATTCACTTGGTTCAGTGTAGGTCTCTCTGCCTCAAGAATGGAGGGAGAAACCCTGCCACAATAGTTCAAACAGCAACAAACAGAATGAAATATGCTACTCTGTAAAATCATGGCAGCCCCATTTTTATTTTAATTAATAGACTAAAAATGAAGCTAGCTCAGAAACTGAGACACGCCTTTGTTTCTACTGGACAAAGTAATATAGCCACACTACTGATTAGCCTGAGCAGCCTACTATGCCAACATATTTACCTCAGGTTTTCTACAAGACATTACATTGCACTGTGTTGACAAAACTTTAGGTGCCAAAGAAAATGCTGTAACTGAGGCATATGTCCAAAATTTAAATCCTCAAAGCTCTGCTCAGCTGTTGTCTAATGCTGGATAACCTAGGGTCTTTAAGAGCCTATGTTTCTACCACAAAATTCTGTAAGCAGTTAAGAGTCAGCTGGTGGGCTTGGCCAACCTTATTAAAGCCTTGACGCTGCTGAGCAGGTAGGTACCTGACTTGATCAAGATTCACAAACTAGGTATTTAGGGTTGTTGACTGTAGCCGTGTTAGTCTAAAGACATAGGCAGACAAGGTTCTTTAGGTAGATGTGATATTTTTTATTAGACCAAAGAGTTGGAAAAAATGTTCTTTGCAAGCTTTCAGGCCCAAACACCCTTCTTCAGGCATAGGAAGAGCCTGCTGGTGTCTTATGGTCTCCTGGGTAGAAGAGAAACCAATATGCAAAATGGAGGTCTGTGAAAATGCAAGCGTGTGGCAGCGAGGATCAGACTAGGTATTTTGCACTTACATTGCCCACACACCCTGATCTGCTGGATGTTGGGATGATATAGTTGAGGGCGGTTCTACTTTGACCCAGGGGTTGTACTAGATGACCTCCTGAGGTTGCTTCCAACCCTAATTTTCTATGATTTTATGTTCTCACAGCACCTGTACCACATTTCCCCCTGTACAAAGTAATGCCAGAGGAAGTTACAGAGTTCAAAAGTCAGCAGCGCATGCAGTCGGACACAGGAGAAAAGAACCTGCATTGCCTATCTCCCAAATGAGTGCTCTACCAGCAGATTTTAAGACATCATGGGGCAGAGCTTCCCTTCCAGTGAAGTTGTTTCATTTTGTATGGACTGGAGGGCAAATGAGCCAAACTCCGTAGGCCAGTCTTTGGAGCACTCATCTAGAAAGGGGAATCGTGGTTTCAGTGCTTGCTCCAATATTCACTGGGCAAAGGAGACATGATGGTAACAGGGTCTCTCTCCCTTCCTCTTTCCCATTTCTCCCCCTCCTCCCACAGCCCCCTGTCCTCCCCCACGTTTTGAAATCAATGGGAGTTAGGTGTCTCTAAGTGGATTTCAGGGTTCCACTGGCCATCTATCTGCACCTTTAGGCTTCCCTGTATCCTTAATAATGTGGCACTAAGTGATTGGCTTTTACAGTTATACCTCTATACAGTGTATAATGAAGGAAAATAAAAATCTGTAATGTAATTTTAAATTCTTCTGGAGTGTGGCTGCCAGCCTCCATCCCATACCTATATATTTTTAAACACTATTCAGCCCATGCTTTCTTCTACCTACAACATGATTGCATTGGCTGTGGGATCCACAATAGTCTCAGCATAACACTGCTGAGTTCAGTTGCTAATGAAAAAAGTGTGATGAATAAATCAGCCCAGAAAGGATATCCCAGAGCAGTGAGACTGAGTATTAATTCATGAGAACTCATCTGACAAATAGTAATTAGGGGATCAAGATCTTAACAAAGCAGCTAATCTACCAGGACTGTGCATTTAGAGCTTAGCATTTCTGACAAATAGGGAAAGATTTAGCTTTTATAGGAACGTGACCAAAATAACATCTAAATAGAAAGCACAACTTACCCTTTATCACTACCAAAAACTCCCCACGAAACACACCACTTAGGGTAAATATGCTTCCAATTATAATTAATATGTTAAGAAGGTAGTGGCTGGAAACTGATAATGAAAAGTGTGTTCATCAGCAATGGTACAGCTTTTCTGTCTCCTAAAGGATAGAACACATGGTCCTTCACTCCTCTGTCAACATACCTATCTCTGTTGCTGCTGTAACATCCAAAGCTTCTCCTGTTTCTTCTTCTTTTGTTTCATTCCCCTCACTTACTATCTCACCGTGCATCTCACTTTCCACTTTTTCTCCCGTCTCACCTGGGAACAGTAACCATGGAAATCAAATTAGGATACACTTAAACAGTATTAAGTGCCCTAGCTCTTTTCTGCATGATTGATCTGGTTTTGTCAGGTCTTCTGTATCACTTATAAAATGTAGAAAAACACTGAAAACTGAATCAATCAATAGGTAAGAGATTCCAATGCAGCTTCCAGTTCTATAGGTACATGCATGGTCTATACCCATAAAATGCTGTACTTGTCCACACTCTGAACTGAAGCCTGATTTTGTAGTTTTAATAATTATAGATGTGTATTTTATGTTTAAACATTTTATTACAAACACCTGTAAATACATTGCTATCAAGGTCACATATCTGAACATAAGGTGACAGAACACATACAAAGAAAACACTGAAGTCTAAATTAGCAAGAAGTCATCTCTTCTATCTGTAAGTTTGAATCAAATGTAAAAACTCTGTAAATAAATGGAAGAGTCTATCCATCGTAGAATGCCCGGAAAGAAGTGCATAAGAATTAATAGCATACTGAGTATTATTGTCAGGACCAAAATGGTAAAGAGTCTGAACAGAAAAAGAATCCTGAATGGAGATACAAGTAAGCATAAATAGTCAAAATAGCTCCCATGTATGTCCTTCAGGCAACTAACCAGTTTTTCCACTGCAACCATGTTCTTCTATATGGTCATGTTATAGGAGAAAAGTTCCATTTCCAGTAACATGTCATTATGTGTATAAATGCTAATTAAATTGAGCAAACCAAGCCAGATGGGCAAGACTGTACACATTTTGAAGGTGAAAGAACTTCCAGTCACATAGTGTTTTATGTAAACAGACTTATATTCTAAAAGAGAAATCACCATTTCATGTAAGAAAGTTGTACATAAAAGAGAGAGTACCCATAAGCTTGGAATGTCTGAGAGAGAGATTCCCATCATTCAAGAGTTAACATATTCTAGGGACTACATGTGCCATTAATAGGTTGGCCATATGTCCTGGATTGGCCGGGACAGTCGTGGATTTCAGAGGGTCTCAGCATCCTGGCCATTGGAGAAAAATCAAAGCAGAAGTCCTAGATTGGCAGGAACCCACCTGCACGTACAGCTCCCGAGTCAGGAGCCCGGCATGTACAAGCAGGTCCGCACCAATCCGGGACTTTTGCTCCAATTTTCTCCAGGGAGCCCACCCAATGGGCTGCTCCCTGGTACACACCCCACTGGGCTGCGAATGGAGTTGCTTGCGCAGCAGTGTTACCAGGTCTTAAAATATGAAATTATTGTATTGGAAGTTCAAATTATTGTATTTTCTGAAGAACTATCATACACGGAAAAAGTATGCAAATAAGTATGTGAATAAGTCTTCTTACTTACTTTATACTGCTCACTGTGACGCACCAGTGACAGAGAACTGGATCAAAGTTGAAGCATTTCTTTACTTTGGGGCAACAGGTAATAAGTAAGTGCTAACAGTAAACCCAAAAGAGTGACTTGGGGTTTTGCATATGCTGCATCAATTAACTGGTCTCAAAAGTTATCATTCATTTTGAACACTTTTAAGATTATCTCTTATATGTTGTACAAGGGCTGACACTGTTGTATAATATGATAATTATTGTATACCTGGCAATAGCTGTTGTGCAGTAGACAGGAGAAGTGTGCTTGGGAAGCCATGGGGTTGGGTGTGTTTGTGTGTGCACTGTGTGCTCCTGCCCAGCCCCACTCCTGCTGTTCCCTGCCCTGCTCCCAGGAGCCATGGGGTGGTGTGGGAGGGACCCCGTTCCATATTTCCTTACCTCATCCCAGGTTTCCCT